TCTGGAGACATGTTTAGTTGCCATAACCGGGGGTATGCTACTGGCATCCGTGGGGAGAGGCCAGGGATACTGCCAAGCAGCCTATAATGCATGGGACAGCCCACCACCCAACACAACAAGGAATGACTTGGAACAAAAGTGTCCACACTGCTGAGGATGGAAATTTCTGCTTTTGAGACGGATGATTGTCCTGTCCTGACATCTTCCCAGATGTCAACCTGCTTTGCCCTCTCAGCCCCATGGATGGCTCCTTGGTGGCCTCTACACAACTATCACTTGAATAATTACCAGCAGGTGATTATCACTCAAATGCCTTCCTCTGCTCACCACGCAGCCCCTCCAGAAGGCGGGACCAGGGCTTGGTCCACAGGGGCTGTTCCACCAGTATCTGTGGCTCGGAGCTCAGACCACCAACCCAAATGCATGTGCACTCAGCTCCACCACATGGACACCCGGATACACGCTCTCAGCCACAAGCCTCAGTTTACTCTCACTGTCAGCGCTGCCAGGGAGACAGCCCAGCTCCACTTGCCAGCGTGTCACCACCGCCAAGTGACAACCTCTCTGATCACAATTTCCTCGTCTGCAAAATGGGGGTGATGATGGCTACCTTGTCCTGCTTTTGTGGAATCAAGCAGGTGTGTGCATGGACAGGTCTTGATGCAGCCCCAACCCACTGTGAACTCCCAGTAAATGCTGGCCTGGGACCTGCCATGGGGACCAGGCCTCTGGCACATGGTTGGAATAACAGTGATGGTGGCATCACTCAGGTAGCTCAGCTCTGTTTAGGAAGCTCAAGAGCAGGAAGCACCGTGCAACAGAGGGGGCACTGAGGTAGGGATCACACAGACCTGGGTTCAGATCCTGCTCTGTCACTGATCAGCCCTGTTACCAGGGACGATGATCTGTCCCAGGTAGTTTCGAAGATGAAGAAAACAATCAGCTCTGTAACTGTGCCTTGCACGTGGCAGGTGCATTTAGTAAATATTCCAAAAAGGACCAGCAGCCTAAAGAATCCTGGGGACTCAGGAGCTGTGGGACCGCAACACTGGAGTCCACGCCTTCTCTCTGTGACTGTCTTGCTGGGGATGATACTCCCTGATGTTCTCTCAGAGGCTGAAGCTTCCACAAGTGGGTCTAAAAGATACATAAATGCTTGAATCTGTGTGGTTTTATTTCTTAATTTTTAAATTTTTAATAATTCATTTTTTGAATCTGTGTTTTCAGTGGACACTGAAACTACAGGGAGGAAACTGAATTCTATTTTTTTGAAATCCCCTTTGATCTGCATTTGACACTAGGCTCAAATAATTTTTCCATTTTTCAATTTTTTAAAAAACAGTCCATCAACAGAAAAATGCATAAGCAAAAGGTGGTCTACCCACAGGATGAAATATGATTCAACTTTGAAAAGGAAGGCAATTCTGACACCTGCGACAGCATGGAGGAAGCTTGGGGACAGTATGCTGAGTGAAATACACCATCACAACAGGACAGATACTGGAGTGATACCACTTACATGCAGCACATAGAACAGACAGATTCAGAGAGATGGGAAGTAGCATGGTGGTCACCCGGGGTGAGGAAGGAGGAGTGAGGAGTCAGTGTTTAATGGGGACCGAGTTTCAGTTGGAGAAGCTGAAAAAGTTTTGGAGATGGATGGTGCTGATGGTTGCACAGCAGTATGAATGTAATTAATGCCACTGAACGGTGCACTTAAAAAACCTGAAACTGAATAGAATAAAGTCTATTAAAAAAAGAACAGTACAGATGGTAAATGTTATATACATTTTACCACACACACACACACACACACACAAATCCAGAACAAGAGGGAAAAAAAAGGATCAAAGGAAGCTGCTCTCCCTGCCTTGTGGGACAAGACTAGCAGGAATTCCCACCCTTTCTCAGGAACTCCTGGTTTGTCCAAGCTCACGTCCCTGGGAGGCAGCCAAGTGGCTGAAAGAGGCTTGTGTGGGTAAGGGGAGGGGCAGGGTCTGGCGGGAAACTCTGACACCCCAGTGACTCTGACCATGACCGTGGGGGCAGATCTGAGCCCAGAGTGGGAGGGCCCCCAGCCTCCAACTGCCTTCTGTAAGTGAAAGCCATTTACATACTCCCAGGTATGTGAACAAGAGAACTGAAAATAGCAACTCAAATAAATAACGTGTGCATGGATATTCCCAACAGCTCAAAGGTCCATCAGCAGATTATGGCTAAACAAGACACATGTTTCATCCATACAATGGAATGTGATTCAGCCTCAAAAAAGTGCTAAGATATGCTTTGTTATGGGGTGAATTCTGTCCCTTCAAAAAAGACATCTTAATATGGAAGCAACCTAAGTACCCATCAGTAGATGAATGCGTAAAGAAGAGATATATATATATATATGTGTATATATATATATATATACACACACACACACACACACCCAATGGAATATTACTCAACCATAAAAAGAATGAAACCTTGCTATGCAACAACCTGGCTGGACCTTGGAGATATTATGCTCAGTGAAGTAAGTCAGACAGAAACAAACACTGTATGATTTTGCTTTTATGTGGAACCTAAAAAAGGTAACACATGAACAAACACAACAAAACAGAAACAGAGTCACAGATACAGACAACAAATAAGTGGTTGTCAGACAAGAGAAGGCTGGGGGAGAGGAGAGAAATAAGTAAGGGAGATTAAGAGGTACAAACTTCCAGTTGCAAAATGAATGAGTCACAATTGTGAAATGTACAGGGTGAGAAATACATCCAATAATTACGTAATATCTTTGCACAGTGACAGATTGTAACTAGACTTATGCTGGCGATCGTTTTGAAATTTACAGAAACACTGAATCACTGTGTTGTGCACCAGGAACTAACACAGTGTTGTAGGTCAATTAAACTTCAAAGAATATGAAAATGAATATATGTTTATTTATGTATGACTGAAAAATGGTGCTGTACACCAGAAACTGACACAACATTGTAAACTGGCTATAACTCAATTAAAAAAAAAACAACTTCAAAGACAAGTAAAAAACTCATAGAAAAAAAAG